GAGAATCTGTATTGTTTATTGCCAAAGAGACTGATCTCAACAACCCCAGCCCTGTGCATTCTCAAGTTTGCCCATATTTTGCAACAAAATAGCCCAACTTTTAACATGTTGTACGTACAACATGATTCCTGCTGTACGTACAACCGTTGGGCGTTGGGGGGTTAAATCGGCGATAACTTCGGCCGTACAGCTCCAACGGAAGCGTGGTTGAGCTAGTTTGAAAGCTCTACTTACGAAGCGTCAGCACGTTTTATATTAGCAAATTTCTTGCCAATTTTTTCAATTCCTGACCATTTGAACTATCACTTTATGGAGGGGTGGAGTTTTTTGTCGCTTTGACGTCAAAAATAATCAGAACTAAGCTTTAGAAATATACTAGAGAAAGCGCAAACGAAGCTTAATCTAGTGATATATCACTAAAAGCAATTGAACCCATTTTCGTGTCAATTACTCTCAATCCGTGTGCATACAAATCCTCATATGAACACATTTTAATTAATCGTCTCCTTCTCAGTATGGACATTGACCAATCACACATGCGAGGTTTTTAAAAGAAAAACCTAACTGTTATTTCTTTTTCGGACCGGAGAAGTATGTAATACATTTCACATCCCGCCGTTACTAAGCTACCAAATCCGCCATGCCCCGCAATCCTACGAGGCGGCTACGCCTTACCTGGTCCGAGAAGGTGGTCCCTCTCTCGTACTATGTCCTACAAGGCAATCGCTGAATGGGCCGTAAACGAGTTCTGTCTCCCAACCACTCCCGGCAAAGCCACCATGTGTTGTATTTTCAAGTCGTCAGCTACACTACTGAAGCAACCAGTGGAGAAGGCTACTCTATTATCAAAAAAGTGATGCATGCATTAAATCGCTTAGGAGAAGGACACGCCGAGCCTTATTCAGTAAATTTACCTACTGCATTGATGTGGTGAGAGGGTGCGTGGTCGAAGGTGGCGACACCATTCCAACATTCGGGTTTAGCTAACAAAGCGAACATCAATTATTTGCTTTGTTAACTTATATCAATATAGGCTGTTTTTCGCATGGAGCTATGTATTACATGTATTAATACAGACCGGCATAAATATCAGGCGTTCACTATTCATGCAGAATACTGTATAGCACTTATGATGTAATTGCTTACTGTTTCTTGTATCGAGACAGTCCGACATCGTGTCCCAGTAGGATTCAGGGGGTAGGGCCTATCATCGGCAGCAGCAATTGATGCGCTTTTGTTGTCCCGCTGGCACAATCATTTTTTCACAGCCTTTTTTAGTTTTTTTTAAGCTAAAAAACACTTTGATATTTTATTTTGTCATAAAAATTCCAGCGGTATTTTGCGCGTCTTTGATCTCATGGATCGACTAAGAATCACGGGCTAGGCGTGCCATTCAATAAACGAGAGCATGGATGTCATATTTTGCACTATATGAAAACAAACGTTCTAATATCTAAAATTACTTTGTTTTTTACATTGTGTAACATCTCCTTTGTTTTCCGTACTCCGATATGGTGCATACAACCTGGCAAGCGTATCACATTAAGCGCGTGACGTTGACATCAGAACATGTAAACACTTGATTTAGGTTGACTTTGACGATCACAATTTTCGGTTCATCGCAGCCACTAAGGCCATTCTCGTTACCTGCTATAGTCGCGACCTGTAGAACATCAATACATACACAAGTTTAAACCTTATCCGTCCACAACCAGTAAATGACACTGTTCAGCGGCTTCACCCATCAACCTTTTGCTTTAGACAGCAGTAGCAAGTGTAGCACAGTCGACAACACGATGGACATGGTCAAAAGACTCCATTCTCCTGCAGCAGCATCAGACGGTATAACATACGCTAGACTTGCATAACGCACGCAATTTTGGGTGACTCCAGAAAACACACTAGCTGCTGTGTCACAAGGCCAATAATTCATAGAAGAGGAGAAGACATTCGAAAAACTCGCCTTTATTTTATCCCGGAAATGTGAGCAGCAAGTGACGTTTTTAGACTATTTTCCTTAGGTAATATACAGACCATTTGAAAGCTAGCTTAAATACGGTAGCTGTATGCAAAACCATAAATTTTGCATTTTGTTTTCGGTCCTCTGGAACGATATTGTGAACTGCGATCAAATTCGAGTATTTTACAACTGCAAAACAGCGGAGCAGGCCTGAAGAATGTAAAACCTCGTGTAACTAATCGATGCCTTCGCAGTTCTTCAGCCTTCGATAAGCCTTGCGCCCAGCTTTTTACAGAGCTGTAGAAAAACTTGAATATTAATAATGAAGTTTTGCCCTAAAACCGAGGCAGCCTGCCGCCCCGTGTTCGGTCCAATGCGTTACTGCACACTTTACCGTATGGGGTCTGTTTCTTGTGGGTTGCCTGGCAGCGAGCCGCTCGCCGAGCGCCCTTGTGACCGCTCTCTGGAAACCGGAGACATGGTGTTGCCATCCCAGCTGGCGGCTGGATTGAGACTTGCAAGTCTCCGCACTGTGTGAAATATGTTAACCCCAAGCCGCGTTTGTCTCTCTGCCGCTATGACCAAAATTCCTCATTCTTCAATCAAGAGCGAAACCGCAGTAACGGCTTGTCGAGACAGGTTGGTGGCCGCACATGTTTTTAATTGACAAGCGCTGTAGCACTCACGAAGCTGCGACTATTAACGCGCTGTTCTCACTGTGATTCCCTCGTTAACGCGTCTTCTCCCATCTGTCTTCCCCCACTCAGGAGAATCTCGCCGTATTCGAGCGGCAGCATTGAGTGCAATACTAGCTACGTAAGCATAGCGGCATCTGGTGGATTGTTTGCCCTCAATCGAGTCAAGGGAGAGAGAAGCGGGTGTATAAAGACAAAAAAGGGAGGAGACGACCATGCCGATTCAAGTACAAACCGACATACTTGGCAGAGAGTACCTGGCGCGCAAACCCGTACACCGAGAGGATCCTGTTCTGCCTCGCAGCCGGGCTATGAAGCCTGTAGCCCACCCCAAACGCAAACCTCTCGTGAAAAGCCGATTGGCAATGGTGTGCAAGAGCGAACGCGCCAAGAAGCCGCGCCGCCTTCCGAGCGACGAGACTGTCTTCTATTCGAATATCTGGACTCCACCTGATGTGCCCCCTACAAAGATGTCTTCGCAACTCGTGGACATTAGTCAAGTTGCTCATGTGTTGACGACGATTGACTACAAGAGTGGCTACGAAGGCTCAACCAAAACAGAGGTCTTCAATATTTGGGCGTCGCCCGAGTCGCAACACAACGTCCTAGCTTCCAAGACTGCGCTGCTGAGCAAGACCCAACAGAGTGCCAGCAACCTATCGACACCCATTTCCGAGCACAGCAGCGAGGAAGGTTCGTCTGTGGTCACACCGTCCACCATCCTGAGCCTCGGTCCATTGCGAATGGATGCCGATACACTCCGACGAGAACTGTCGCTGGATGATTTTGCTAATGTATTGAGTACTCCAGTCTCCGGACCGGTCAGGAAAGGTGAAAAGGTGGTGTTCTCAAACGTGTTGACGCGCAACGACGAAGTGGACATGAGCTGGAACTCGCAGTTTTTGCTAGGACTGCACGAGCCTGTCCGTCATGCTTTATACGTAATCGATCGCTTCTTGGAGCGCAGTCGTGACCAGCAATCGCCCATGAATATGAATGTGCGCGAGTTTTTCGGTTGGTTCAAGCTGCACTTCGTCGAGTTCGTACGAAACCAGCACGAGGTCAAGTCGACGGTGCTCCTCCCGCTTGTCGTCATCAAGTTCGTCGAAAAACGCGATATTGTTGCGTTGTATCAAGCCATTTACGCACTGATGGATGTGATTATTGCTCAGGAAGACGACTTGGTATTCTCCGCTGCGTCATCCGCAGACTCGTGGCAAACTCGGCTGGGCATGTTGCAAGACGATATCCGTCGACTTAATCATCTACTCTTCAACGTGCTATCACTAGAAGAAGAGGCCTTCAAGCCAGCTATCGAGCTCGCATTTTCAGAGAAGGCCTTTCAGCGATATGTCATGCCACGGATCTTCCGTGCGACCAAGCCGAAGCGTGTAATGGTACCGTGGATTGTTGAGCGGAGTCGCGTCTGGGGAGGTGTCAAGGTCGCCAAAGCGTACAAAGGAGACTTGTCATTTACTGCTCGGTTCCTGTACGACCATGTGTGGCACCCCTATTTCGAAACTAATATCGCCTATGCAATGAAGCACTTGGACAACGATACGAAAGGCGTGACTGCGAAAGACTCTGATGAGTCGTGGTTTGGCTGCTCAGTCATGTAAAACCATTAAATATTGCAGCTTAAGCAGGCTCCAGTTTGCACCGCTCTATAGATTATCTTCCAAGTATTCAGGTAGATGCTGCGGTTGGGAAGTAGGCAGGAGCTGGATAAAAAGCTTTTTATTGACATTAGGGTCCATGCCAATCAGGCGAAAACCGGGTATTTGATTTGCCCGTTCATGTATCGGTAAGACACCATATACGATAAGATAAACCAGCAAAGCTAAGAGCTTTACTTCTACTAAACAGCGAGGGGCTTTTGGTAACACTTCGTGGTCGTCGTCGAGCTACATGTATTCTTTTTTTCTTTGCTTTGAAAACATGACATTGTAATCGAACGCTTTGTTTGGAAATACAAGTAGTTTGCATTTTGTGAGCATATTAATCGGTTTGAATATGAATATGACAGTTTGAAGACGACATAGTTCGCTCGGTGAAGTTGCCGGCTACGTGAGTCTATCTGCTTACCAGAAGCTTGCTGCCTCGCTTGCGAAAGAGCCCCATTCCCGTTAAAGTTCAAGCCTCACAACCAGTGGAATATGATTGGTCAAAAGTTTTCATTTGTTTTTGGTTAATCACATTTCATCTAGGTTGGCCACACAAGATCCAGATGTCGGGAAGAGTCGCTGCCGTTGCACCCGGTCGATCTTAGCTCACTGGTCGAGTTGAGCGGAGAAACCAACAGTAGACACAGCAGACAAAACAGCTTTAGCACCTAAGCCGAGGCCATGGGGCAGCAGGTCTCACATCCGGCCGCGGTGACGCAGCCGCCGGGCGAACGCGCGAAGCTGCGCCCTCTACAAGCGCCGTACGTGCCGCTCTGCGACGTCCTCAAGGCTGGTGACGTGGAAGACGCTAAAGACGCAATGGATAAGATCCTCGAGTTCGGCGATGCGCTGCGCTACCTCCCAAGAGGTGATCGTTGAAAAGCACATTATTTTTAATTAGTTTATTGTCTCAATGTAATGTGTCTCTACCAACAGAGAGTGAAGTATCCGGACGTCTGCTGACGCGCAGTCCGGAGCAACAGATGAAGGAGCTAATAAACACCGTAGACTCCGTAGACGAGTTATTCCAGCATATCTCCCAGCTGGCAGGGCTGCCGATGCACGACGGACGCGACCTAGCACGCCCTGACGCCAAACGGGACGCTGGCGAGACAATGCCTGGAGTGTTCGACGCCCGCGTGGCCAGCTACGTGAAGAACTTGCAGTCTGTATACCATATGACCAAGAAAGAAAAACACCGTCACGAACAGCGACTGGTGGCTGCTAGAGCGCACGCCATGTCACTGAGCAAAGTGTCGCCGCCGCCACTGCCAATACCGACGCAAACCTGTCTGACAATGGGCTGGGATCTGGTCGTGATGCTGCTTAAGGCTAC